GAGGTTCGCAGAGACTTGATTACAGCCACAGCAGCCCTGGCCGGCACCGCGACTCTGTTCTTTGGCTTGTTTACCAACCTTCCTGTCGCTCTTGCGTAAGCCATGACAGAAATCCTCAGTAGTTGCACTCTTACTGATCTAGATCTTCAGTCCAGGCATGGGTCTCAATGCCTATTTTGCTTACCAGGTACGTTGTGTCGCCCATCAATAGCGTTCGTCGATAGCCCGTTGCTTACTGTATGACAAAGGTCGTTGGCAGCAACGGCAGCGGTGCCGTCTCCTACCGCACCGCCTTGACTGCCGTCTTCTTCGAGGGTATCATCTTCATGTTTCTCGCCCTAACAGGCATGCGTCAGTGGCTCGTCAGGCTCATCCCTGCCACCATCAAGACTGCTACGGGAGTTGGAATTGGCTTCTTCCTCACTGAAATTGGACTTTCTTACGCGTCTGGTATTGGTGCCATCACGGGTGGCGGCCTAGCGACCCCTCTCAGCTTGGGCGGTTGCCCCCCTGATATGATTAACGCAGTGACAGGAGCGTGCAATGGAGGCCAGATGACGAATCCAACTGTGAGTAGCTCGAGCCTCTCCACCTTTATCCAATAGAAGAGCGACTGCTGACCCGTATGAGCGCAGATGTGGCTCGCCATTTTTTGTGGTGGCATCGTCACAGCCTTTCTTATGGCTTTTAGGGTCAAGTATGCCCTGGTCATTGGCATTGCCCTTGTTTCCATCATCTCGTGGCCGTAAGCTTCACCGTCTATGCCTTGTCGAAGCACTTGCTGACCTTTTCACCTCACCACAGCCGCAACACTCCTGTGACCTATTTCCCCAATACACCTGAAGGCGACTCTCGCTTCTCCTTTTTCAAACAAATCGTTGCATGGCACCCTCTATCCAAGACGCTCAACCAGCTTGACTGGGGCCTCGATACCACCAGCGCCACGCACTTTGTTCTTGCTCTCTTCACGTTTCTCTATGTCGACATAATCGACGCCACTGCTACGCTATACTCCATGGTCCGTTTCTGCGGAGTTGTCAACCCCAAAGATGGCGACTTCCCCCGCTCAACCATCGCTTACTGCACCGACGCGGCATTCATATCCATTGGGTCTCTGTTTGGATGCTCCCCCGTTACGGCCTTCATCGAAAGCGGTGCGGGTATCGCGGAGGGTGGACGCACCGGCCTCACGGCTGTGGTTACGGGACTGTGCTTTATCGTCTCGATCTTCTTTGCTCCTATATTTGCTTCTCTCCCTCCATGGGCTACGGGATGTACTCTCGTCTTGGTTGGGTGCATGATGATTCGCCAGATTACGCAAGTCAATTGGCGTTATATCGGCGATGTTTTGCCTTCTTGTGTTGTTATGATGTTTATTCCGTTTAGCTACAGCGTTGCTTACGGGCTCATCGCGTAAGATTCTCTCCATGAACCAATCTTCCCCTCGACTTCTTCTCTTTTCATCGGATACTAATCCATGTTCTCGTTTAGGGGTCTCTTTGTTTACACGATCCTCAACGGCCTCATTGGTCTGGTCGTCTTCCTTTCAGGCAATCGTATCGAACCTCGTGAATACGATCTCAAAGAGTACTGGACCTGGAGAGGCTCCGGTCGTGCGCCGTGGTTCGTCCGAGCCATGAGAAGGGGCAAGAGTCACGGTCCGCCTCCTTCAGGCGATGACCACAATAACCACAGTGACACCACCGCTACCTCGTCTGTTCCTAGCGAAGAGGAGAGTCAGCGGGGATTCAACGCCCAACATGATTGTGATGATCATTGCACCAAGGGTGATTCTGCAGCCACGGAAGCTCATTCTAGGGTGCATTTGAGTCATGATGAAGATTACGACTATCGTCTGGATTCTTCGCCTTTGAGGGGTATAGCTCGTTGATTTTGTGCTCGTTTGTTCTCGTTGATTGGCATGCTGTGATGGCTTCCCATTTGATGGGTCAAGGATATGAAATGACGTGGACATGAATAGGGGCTGATGTGATGATGGGTCATGTGTCAACGACATCGCTCTGGATTTGCTAAACTATGGCGTTTAAGGCCGAATGCTTTGTACACGTGAAAGATCTCTGTTGATCGAAATGGGTAGTTAGTTAGCTTTTACTTACATACCATTTACACAAAAATGAGTTTTCTCCTCAATCGCTCCCCCTTTTCCTTTCACGCTCTCTTCTTTCTGTTGGAAAGCACAGTGCTAAATATAGTTTGTAGACAAACCTTGATAACGAACATACATAAACAACTGGCCCCCTCAGAGGCCGGTCAACCCAGCTAATTACCTCATAATACAACAACACATTTGTTTTGTTCGTTTTTCCATCTTCAACTTCAACAACAGCTTCCTCGAGACTAAAAAGAATATATACTCCTCTTTCTTGATAGGTTTAAGAGTCTGGATCGGCGAGCGCAAAATGCAAATTAGTATCGCGCGCTTGAAATCTCCAGAGACACGTCCCGTCGTGTCAGTCGACCTCAGAACTGGACGTGAGATTAATGGGTTTCCCGGAAACTGCGGCAGACATGTCTCAAATTGATGGTAGGTCTCCATTCTTTGTTCTTTCAGATAATTAAAAAAATGACTTTGAATAGAAGTCACCGCGAGATACATCCGAGACGCTCTGCGAATCGATCACCAGGGTCGGGATGGAGCGGGAACTTTTACGATGTTATGCTTATTACGCATAAATTGTGATGGGGGGGAAGGGAAACGATTGTGATGGCAATACACACAGCTGTATCGTATGGACACGCGTGTGGACGCAGCTGAAGCGCGAGCTGTTGCGAATGATGCTCAAGTGGCTGCAATGACGATCGTATTGCTGCTGTTAAGCTCCGCGCGTGGGAGATGTTTGTTCACTAACTATGTATCAACCTGGTTCCTTGACTTAATATCTTAGGTTTAAGAACCTAGGTAGAGCGTCAGGCATAAAATGCCATCCATTATCGTTTCCTTAAATCTCCAAAGACACATCTCGTCGCGTTAGTCGATGTATCTTTCCCGCAATTGATGTCATACCAAAGTAATCAAAAAGTCTCAAGGGTATATTCTCTTTTTATCATATCCTCAACATCTACAGCTTCACTTTCACCCGCTCATGCCTACATCTCCGCCTCCTCCCCTCGCCCCCATGGCCCTCTCGGCAGCTTTCCTCCTCTCCAGGCCCTCGTCCACCCACTTCTGCACTGCTTCGTCGCCGCCTGCATCCAACTTCTTCTCGACAACATTCTTCAAGACCTCGCCGGCGAAGCCCACAAAGTTGTGCCTCCGCAGCGCGTTCTCAAAGAGCCAGTCCTTGCGCTTGCGCTGCTCGCGCTCCAGCAGCTCGTCGTCGCCAAACTCCTGGGCGCGGATCCGCAGGTCGCGGCACATTGCCAGCAGGTTGAACCTGATCTCGGTAGCGTCGTAGCGCGAGACGCGGCGCTGCAGCACGTCGACGACCTTAAGGGGGAAGTCCTCGGCCGTGCATGCACCGTGGGAGATTGGCGCGGGCTGGAGGCCGTCGAGCTCGTAGAGAGTTCCGTCAATGGGGGTGTAGGCGATGAAGTGGAAGACGTCCTCGGAGGGCTCGCCGGTGCGGGCGGTCTCGTCGGCGAAGGGGCTGCTGCGGGCGAAGCTGTTGTGGACCTCGCGGATGAGATCCGAGTTACTAAGGGCCTCGCCGCGGAACTCTGGCGGGAGGACCATTGTGAAGTCGCGAAAGTCGTGCATCTGGGGCCCGATGTCGACGTCCTGCGTCTTGTTCATGAGGACGCTGAGCAGGGCTTGCGTCGCGCAGGCGTTCTGGATCGTCTGGGCGGCGAAGAAGATGCGCTCAGAGGCATCGTGGTCGAAGGCGCCATCGAGAGGTCCGTCGGGCGTAGCATAGGGCCGGTCGGTCGGGTATTTGAAGAGGAAGATAACGCCGTAGAGGGGCTGAAGGGTGAGGAGCTCCGAGGGGTCGAGGGTGAGGAGTTCTTCGAACTGGACGTTTTTGACGCCGAGGTTTTCGATGAGGGATGTGAAGACGCCCTGAACATGTTAGCCGGGGATTCCGTCTATATAGAGATGGATTGGAGTAGAGCCGAGCAGGAGATAAGGGATAATGGCATACTGCATCAGACTCAACTACAATGCAAAGCAAGAGAATGCGTCAGTTTACAAACAAGCTTCGTTCATGTCGATTTCAAAGCCGTGAGCTTGCTTACTCGTGTTCCAGCCGCCGCTCATGATGTCACGCTATGCGCCGTCCAAACGACAGCCCGGCCAAGCAAATGGAGGGGAAATTGTGCAATGAAACAGAATATCGTAGCTGAAGCAGAGCTTCTCGAGCAAATTGTGCAGGTAATGATGGTGTTTTGTGGTAGTTGGTACAAGGCAGTTCAGTTTGTGACGACAGCTTGGCCTGGGTATGTCAAATCGCCGATAAGATAAGAGGTCCGCAGGCACCCCCACGAGTACGTACCTGAAGAATATCCGTGAGCTAAAATCGCTTCGTTTGCTTGTGCCATGAATATATCACAGCAGTTACTGGAGAAATATAGATATTATAGTAGCAGCTATTTGATAAAAAAAAAAAAAAAATTTAGGCATTGTAGTAAATACTGGAGAAAATATAACTATAGCAGCAGATACTTGAAGAACAGGCATATAATTTACTGCGTGGGTGTTCAAAATCTTCTTAGTCTCGGTTTCTCCGTCTTCCACTTGCTAGGTATAACGTCGAGAACTCATGAGATGCTTCCATCATATTCACAGATTCGCTGATGCTCTAACTATCACTTTTTATAGGTACACGAAAAGGCCCGAACCCGCAAGCCTTTTATTTTCTCTCATTTTCGTTTCTTTTTCTTTTTCTTCTCCTCTTGTGTTTCGTTTTCAAGGGCTTCATGTGAGAAACCCCAGTTTCAACGCCCCCGCTCTTTACAAAATCTACAATCGCTAATCCCACATTATTAAATCATGTTCATGTCCCTTTTATGCATTTGCTAAGCTCCCGCCACCCATATACTCTTTACACGGCAGAGACTTGCTCTCGAACGGCTTTGTCTCTCTCCATCCCCTCGTGGCTGTTTTGTCCATCTTGCTGTGACATCTCATCCCCCTCCGCCTCAGTCGCAGTCTCTCCATCGTGATTTGCATTGCTCTCTGCGGCGGCCGCTTCAGCTGCTGCCGCTGCCGCCGCCGCCTCGGCCTCTCTGCGTCGAGCTTCTTGGGCTCTTGCTTCTGCTTCCAGATTTGCAATGTGGCGTTCTGCAACGCCGGGCGCAATACTGGCAAGGAACAGGAGACCAGCTCGCTCCAGCCGTCTCAGCTGTCCTGCGAGCCAAGATTCTTGGCCACGACGCTCGGCAACCAGCCTCGCGGCCATCTGGGCCGGGTTGGGGCTTCCATTCTGATCTGCTCCAGGGGCGCCATCACGGCCTGCAACTCCTCTTTGTCCAAGATGAGCCGGGTCTACTGCAGGGAATACATTTTCAAGATGCCGTCCCAGTGGGCGCCAAGCCTGTTCAGCAACACCAGCCAACAATCCAGTGCTGAGAATGAATACGAAAAAGGCGAGAGCGATTATGGTCAACCATCTCGACCAGGAGGCGTTGGGAGACATGAAGAACCACACAAACAAGGCAAGACGAACTATGAGCCAGATATGAGGAGCCGCCTGTACCAGCAGATTGGGCAAACCTGCACGAGGGTTGCCAATGTGCAGGCGAATTATGCGAGGCGGTAGGTCATCTAGCCGTTGCTGTTGCTGTTGTTGCTGTTGCTGTTGCTGTTGCTGTTGCTGTTGCTGTTGCTGCGGTGCTGGAGCTTGGTAGTTTTGAGCAGGCTGCCTTACGTCGACCCGGGGTGTTTGGTGAGCAGCATCATCTCTGCTTTGCGCCTGCATCGCGTGGATCACGCTTGGGTAGCTAGCCCTGGTTCGGAGCTGTTGATGGTGACCGGGTGGTAAATACATCCTAGGCGTATAGTAGGCCTCAGCCACAGCACCGTTGAAAACGAGGGCGCGGGGACCCTCTGGAGAGGAGAGGATGTACACCTCGACACCTTGCCGCGATTGAGACGGGACAAGTGAGGGTGCCGACATGGAGGCGGCATTGAACGGGCCAGAAACCGATCTCAGCCCTAAATCGGGCGTGGCTCGACCACTGCTAGCTCGGGAGCCACTGTTGGCAAAGACTGAAGTAGTAATCCCCGGTTGGGTGAATGGACGATTGTGAAGCGAGGCACTAGATGCACTTCGGCGCAAGCCGCTTTGGTGCAGTGCGTTTGCCATGGACATGGGAGTCTGGTTCGCATCCGCCCCTCGCAGAATGCCATGAACATCAGTAGGAGTCAGTGCGCCGTGGGGTGGCGCCGAAGCCGCTGACGGGCCGCCCGCTGCATTTCGAACAACAGTCTCTACATGATAGCTGTGGCCGTTGGGTCCAATGGTCTCGCGGTAGATTGTATGCGTCGGGGCCGGGCTTGCCCTTCCACTGTTCGACTCTGAAGTGTACCCCCCGTGGTTCGCACCAGCGGTGTCGCCAACGCCGCGCATGCCCATGTACGCTCTGCCACGCTGGTTCTGGTTGACCATTCGAGCCATGGCTTCTCTCTGGATCTGGGTCAACCATTGCGTCATACTCTGATGCTGCTGCTGAAAAGCCGCTGCCTGTTCAGGAGTATGAGCCGGAGAGTGCGAGCGAGCGGGGGATGGCATCCGAGGTTGAGACAGAGCAGCATTAGGGGTCGGCTGCAGCACTGATCTTCTTGCCATTCCAGGCGGAGGAGGGGGTCCCATAAAAGCAGCATGCGGAGGCGTCTGTCGCTGGAGGTTGGGAGGCTGGTTTCCTAAAGCCGGGCTCTGGGTTCCAGACAAGAAAGATGGCGTTGAGGATACGCTATCGGAAGCATCTCTTATGACAAGATGAATTGTCTGCTGATCGGGGCTTCGAACCTGCAAGGTGACGGTTGTGTTAGCGCTTTCTTGCTTGGCAAGCAAATCGGATGAAAGAAAAAGCCAACTCACAGCGTCTGCACCGAACACATCTTGTAGACTATCAGTCTCGCGCAAAAGCGCTCGGCCACGGTAGATGAGCCGTTGGTTCTCGTCAGACGGCCGCAAAGGGAGAGTCTGTCGGATCTTCTCCTTGAGCTGCTTGATGGTTGTGGCGGCCGCAAGTCCAGGGAAGAGCAAAGGGCGATTCACGCCCACGGACGGCGACACTACTTGGAGGTTGACGACGGGCTGGTCAGACGAGGCAGGGTCTGCGCCCTGGGCCGCTTGGTTGAATAGCTCCGAAGCCATATTCGGGAGACAGCTTGCATGCTACCAGGCTATGGATGGCCGGCTTCGGTAGAGAAATGTTTGTCTGGTTGTCGCGTAGCAGAGAGAAGAGAGAAATAAAAAGTGCCGAATATTAGAAATCGTGCGCTTGTGTCATGTCAGACAGGGCTCTAGGTAGGGATGGCGACTTTTTTGGTTTCGGATGCGAGAAGGCGCACGCAGCGCTCGAGTCGAGAGACAGCGGTTAATGCCGAGGCTGCTTGGCGTCTACAGCAGGTTGACAAGGGCGCTGTACCTGTCGGAAGGCAGGCCGAACAAGGGGAGCGAGGAAAAGGAGTGGAAGGCCGAGCGCTTCAGTTCCAGGGAGGTGATGCAAGAAGATGGACAATCGATGGCTTCAACGGACGGAGCTGACAGATTGCAGTCGGCCAGGTACAGGTACGTACCGCACCTGCCAGTTGCGCGACACCTGAGGATAGACCCCATGTGGTTTAGCGCCATGCAGACTCGAAGGGTGTCGCGTTTGTAAGCGAATTCCGCTCTCTGACCGTCTTCTTGATGACCGCTAAGTACTAAGGTATGGAGTACTTGGCGAGAGAGCTTTGTATTGTGGCAGCTTTGTGCGTGATGCTGGAGACTGGGAGTACCGAGTACAAAACGGCCAAGTACCTTCGAGTTGTTGCTTCACTTGAATCAATTACGAGACCTGACACATCCAGGTACCTTTATTGGTGTAAGTACGAGTACTTTATATAAAGCTACTAAGATGGCGACCTTCACTTCCAAGCAGAAAAAGAGGGCAAGACGTAATGCAGGGGGTTTTAATTGACGGCTCTCCGGGCGCAGGTGGATATTGCAGGTCAAGCAGCGCGTTTGCGTTGGATTTAGGGCAAAGGGATTGGATGAAGCTGGTGATTGGACCCAATGGTGGAAGTTTGTGCATGCGCATATGTACCTGCTTTAGGTACAGCACAGGGACAGCTCTGCACCTGATTTATGCCCTCGTTTCTTCCTTCTTTCTTCGTTTGTTATATCTAAAGACTGGTTACTTGATATCGTAGCTTGATGAGCATAGAAGGATAAATATCCGTAATGCCTATTATCGGACAAATGTATCAAAATGCGGATAATATCACCCCAATTCCGACATCAGTGTCTGCCAGGTTTAGGTACTAAGGTAACCTCACGATTCCATCTGTGCAGTGGGCGGTAGCATCAGGAAGCAAAGGACATCTGGCTTCTTTACCCATGCTCCCGACCATCGGAACAATGGCATCGCATCATTCTTTCAATGCCCCATTTAGGCAGTTTAAGTAATCGTGCAGGTGATGTTGTTCCGTAAACATTTCTTACTCCCAGAGGTACATAGCACAAAGTACACATGGAGCTGTCAAGAGAGAGATGCTCGGCCTCGGCAGATGTTTGCGCCGCACGCACCAACCAACCATCCCACAAGCCATTGGATGCACATGCACCTCCATACGTCATCCGGCAAACCCTCAAATAATATATTCTACCTCGAGCGCATCGCATCTCCGTCGCCTGCGTCCAATCAATGCCTGTCCGAATTGCCTAATTGAGCACCGTCGCCGAGTGCACAGCTTTGATCAGAGGCGCCTTCCATCATGGCGATACCGGGAATCGGCTCCAGCCGCCTGTTGTATGGTGGCGGGGGAGGAGCCTGCTCTCATCTGTTCTCAGCATCCTTGCGCGCAAGATGCTCTACACGAGCTGCTGCCGGCCGACGGACAGGCCCAATTGCCCCTAATTCTAGGTCTATCCGGCATATCCCATCTTCACAGCGCGGGTTCTCATCACACGACTCTGGCAAACGACCCAGGTTCTCCCAGCGGCTCGGCGAAGCGCTGCGCAACAGCAAAATCACATGGTATCAGATCCCAGTAGGATTGGGCATAGGTTTCTTGGGGCTGGTTCAATTTTACAAGGTTTCGTCGAGGGAAAGGGAGAGGCAACGACAGGAGCAAGAAGGAATCCGAACACCAACGTCAAGACCAAAAGTGCGCCCTGAAGGACCATGGTAAGAACTCCTCTTGTTGTATAGACACTGAGCCATATAATCTGCGCAAAGCTGATGAGGTGTATTCTAGGCAAGTCCAGGTCATGTCCACTCTTCCGCTCAAGGCCCTATCTCGGGTATGGGGCTGGTTCAATGAACTGACAATCCCGTACTACCTACGTGTTCCTGGCTTTAAGCTATATTCCTTCATCTTTGGAGTCAAGTGAGTTGGTCCCCGCCGAGATCCAAAAAGATGATGGAGACAAGTTGCAGTATTTTTTTCTCCTTTGCTGACTCATTCTCGTTATGATACAGTCTTGACGAAGTATCCGAACCTGATCTCCATGTATATCCCAACCTCGCTGCCTTCTTCTATCGAACTCTTAAACCAGGTGCTCGCCCATTGGATCCAGACAATCATGTGCTCCTCTCTCCGTCAGACGGCAAGGTTCTCCAGTTTGGTCAGATTGAAAGCGGCGACATCGAGCAAGTCAAAGGCATGACCTACAGTATCGACGCCCTGCTGGGCAAGCACACGCCTACATCTAGCATCTACAGTGGACTGTCCGACCAAGCGCGAGAGCACCCCCAACGGAGCCACGGCGGACCCATTGGCGATGAAGAAATCGTCAAGCAAGAAGAGGAATTCGCTAGGGTCAATGGCATCTCATACACGCTTCCCGATCTCATGTCGGGACCCAAAGACGCCCGGGCTAAGCATCCCGTTACCGACGAATCTCTCAAGGCTTCCTCTCCCCGCGCCGTCTCCGAAGTTCGCGCTGAGCTTGCTCTCGGCGAGAAGCCTTGGTATGATTTGCTCTCCCCCGACAAGACCACTTCTTTGTACTACGCCGTCATCTATCTCGCCCCGGGAGACTACCACCGCTTCCACTCGCCTACCAACTGGGTCGTCGAGAGCAGACGCCACTTTGCAGGAGAACTCTACAGCGTTTCACCCTACTTGCAGCGCACGCTACCCGGCCTCTTTACCCTCAACGAACGTGTCGTCCTCCTCGGTCGCTGGCGCTGGGGTTTCTTCAGCTACGTCCCCGTGGGCGCCACCAACGTCGGCTCCATCAAGATCAACTTTGACCGCGAGCTTCGCACCAACAGCCTCTTGACCGACACCGCCGCCGACCTTGCCGCTGAGGAAGCTGCAAAACGCGGCGAGCCGTATCTCGGCTTCGCGGAGGCGACTTACGAAGGCGCAAGCTCGGTGCTACACGGCCATGCGCTCAGGAGAGGTGAAGAGATGGGTGGTTTTCAGCTCGGCAGCACAATCGTGCTGGTGTTTGAGGCGCCGGCTACTTTGAAGACTGCAGACGGGGAGGAGAAGAAGGGATGGGAGTGGGCGGTTGAAAAGGGACAGAGGCTGAGGATGGGACAGGCGCTGGGTCGGGTGCTTGAAGAGTAACGAATGAGTTTTAGATTAAATACGATTGGAATCTTGTATAAAACAGAATACATATTCAAAAGAGGAGGAAAGTAAACAAAGACAAAAAAAATATGCATTGCATGTAGCCTACATCACTCATCATCAGCATAGGAGTACAGAATAAACTCAATCACAACCCATCAAACTCGCATATTTTCTTCAAAGGCTAACCAACAAGAAAAGCAAAACGCTCACATATCCACCCTCTTCAGCACGCAAACCACAAGCCATCTCTTCCTCTCCGTAATGTCGTCCTCACGCTCCCCGTCCCACTCCCTCTCCACGCCATCACAATCCCTCTCCCACATCCTCTCCACCTCCACGCCGCCCTCCTCTCGCAGCGCCCCCGCATCGAAGAAGGGCGCCATCTTGGCCCTCCCCGTGTGAAAGCCCGCGACGACCCACGCCCGCGCCTCCACCGTCTTCTTGAGGAAGTACCCGATGGACCGGCGGAGGTTCTCGTGCTGCCAGGGCATCCAGAGACAGTCTGCGACGAAGAGCCGGTCCGCGAGGTGGGCATGCGAAGAAGGGAACGCTGACGAGGCGTCGTCGTCGAAGACGCCCCATTCGTGGCCCTCGACGAGGATGGAGGCTGTGACGAGAGAAGATTTGCCCGTGGGAGCGAGTTCCGGCTTGGTGTTGCGGGCGACGTTTTCGCGGAGCGTCTTCATGATCGTCGGGGCGGGATAGTCCGTCACGACGACGCTCGCGGCGCCGAGAAGGCCGGCCATGATGCTGGGCAGCGCGGTGCCGGCCCCGAGCTCGAGCGTGTGCAGGCCTCTCGTGTCGAAGCTAACATCACCCCCGAGCCCCCTGTCCTGCCTCTCCTCCTCCTCATCCGTCTCCAACGAGTCCCTCTCGATAAACTCAGCCAGCAGCAACGACGCGTTCCACAGGTAATGGCTGAACAGACGGCGGTCGGTCTCGCGCTCTGGTTCGGCGAGTTCTATTTGGAGCGTCTTGGGGAGCTTCGGCGAGGCGTAGAGCAGGGAGTGCTCCGCGTCGCCGTGCTGGTTGACGATGTCGTCGGGGAAGATGACGCCGAGGGATGTGGAGAGGTAGTCTTCCGGGCCGTCGGGCTCGTCGCCCTTGAGGCTGATGCGGGCGGTGAGCGTTGCCATGTTGATTCTATAAGGCTTTTATTGTCCCCGGAGACTTGGTTGGTATGGTTGAGGTGAGGAAAGGGTGATTGATAGATGTGTGTGTGTTTTATCTCAAAATTCTTCCCTTGAGGTCAGATGTGGCCACTCTATTGATCAGGTATGTCCACCTCCTCAGAAGCAGAGACGAGATGAGTCCGAAATAAATCCTTCTTTTACCCCAGGAATATATGACAAGACCAGGCCCAACGTTCGTCTTATGTGGATGAAGCTTCAACCTTCAGATGAGATACTCAAATTCTCTCTAGATCCCCCCACACAACCCCGCTCTCCTCGGCGATAAGAAAAGGTGAAAAAGGCTTCAATAAGGCCAGGAGATGTTATATTCTGTTTAAATTCCGTTTTCAGTCTCGAGCGTCTTTGTTTCTTCACGGCTGATGTTTCTGTAGTTGGTGATTTCCCAGGTCGTTGGGCGAAAAACACATCAAGGTGGGGGTGCAAAGCTTAGTGGTACCTCTTAGCAGAGAAATTTGCCAATCCCGCCTCCGCCCACACAAAAACTCCGAGTCACATACCAGAGACGGTGTAAACAAGCAGTCTGGACATCTTCAGAAACGACTTCACAAAGAATTTCGATCAAGTGTTTTTTTTTTATATCTGTAGATGTTTTCATATTAATATTTTTTTTGTTTAAAAAATATTTTTGCTTCATGTCATATGACATCAAATAATATTACATAACAAGCCATCTTGTCATGAGATGCCCGTGCCTCATACATCTTGATCCATACAAAAGAAAAAATCCCTCCCGAGTTCGTGCAAACAAATGAAATGGTAATTATACATGAAACCACATGCAGAAGCGGTAAAAGATGTGATGCAAAAAAACAAAACAAAGCTTCATGCTTCAAGTGCCCCAGGGAGGTAAGATGGATATACCTTTTGAGTCCCTGCTGTAAGTCCTCCTTGTTCCCATCCCATCCCGTCTGCGCCATCATTTGCCCAACATGTAGTAGTAGTAGTATATCAAAACAGGGTATCAAATCCAAAATTACCCGCTTCGTCCCAGCGTTATAATATTTCCCATCCAAGAATAGCCCAATATACCCTGGTCCCAGTAGAGATCCCATGCGCCGTCTGCCATGCTTTATAAAAGTCATGTTATGAAGTGTTGATTCAATATTCGAGTTTCTCATTTCTCTCAGGCGAGAGAGCAGCCCCTTCCAACTTACAAATCAGAAGCACCGGTGTCCAGCATCCGCTGCATCTCCTTGAGCTGCTCCTCTGTGGGGTCGTCGGAGATCCAATGGCCCTTCTCATCATCGGCGGCATTGTGGAAGCCCTCGGCGCGCTTCAAGGTCTGGACATCAAGATCGGTGACATAAGACTTGCCATCCGAGAGCTTGATGCGGACCTCGTGGTCGGTGGAGAGCATCATGTCATCCTTGGCGAGGCGTCGAGGGCCGTCAAAGACAGCCAGGACGCGCTTCTTCATCGTCATCTGTCCCTTGTTGAAGCCCCAAGAGGAAGGGTAGTCGCGGCGCTTGTTGCGACCACGCGACTTGGTAGACAAGGGAACACCACCTCGGGAGTGGGTCATGCCGCGAGACTTGGAGACGCGGTTGAGAGAGTTCTTCTTCTTCAGAGACGAATGAGCCGACTTGGCAACATCGTCCGCCTCGTCATCGTCAGCCATTTCATCGTCATCCTCCTCATCCTCGGTCACAGAGGTCTGGGTGGTGGCGGGCAGGTTGTTCTTCTCCAGAGTCTGGTGAACGTCCTTGTCGTCAGCAACCTTGGACAGGTGCTTTGCGTTGATGGCCTCGGCGGGGTCCTCCTGCTGAACAATGCGCAGAACACAGTCGTCGAGGTGCTCGTAAAAGTCTTGAGCATTGGTAAAGGTCTGCGAGCAGGTGCTGCACTTGCCGGTGGCGTCGGGGGCATAGCCGGCGAGCGTCTTTGGCGCAACAGCGCCGGAAGCCCTTCTGCGGCTGTTGGGGGGAGTCTGCTCAACGCCGTGGACGGCAGTCAGGTGTCTCTTGAAGACGTCTGCGCGGTTGAACGACTTCTCGGCCGCGGAGCCAGATCCGGGACAGAAGCCACAGACCATGGTGCCCTTGTAGTGGGTCAAGGTGTGGCGGTTCTTGTCATACTTGCGAGCAAACCCCTTGACGTGGTATTCACACGTCATGATGGGGCACTTCTCGGGTCGCTCAGTCTGGTGAGTGAGCATGTGCGCCTTGAGATCCTTGAAGGTCTTGCCGCACTCGGGATAGGTGCACATGTGCTTCTCCTTGATCTCGTCGCCGCTGGGGTAGTCGGCGGAGACGGGGGAGATGAAGTTGTTGCCGCTGTTGCTGGCCTTGCTCATGCTCAGGCGGCGAGGTCCAACGCCGGCTCCGGGAGTCATGGTGGTTGATGTCGCATACGGGCTGGTGGTGTATGCTGTGGCTGGCTGAAAGGATCCGTTCTGCAGGTATGGCGAGGAGCTGCCGGTGCGAATCATATGAGGCTGAGGAGAGGAGGAGAGAGCAGAAGGAGAAGTGGGATACTGAGGGGCGGCAGGCTGGTAGTGAGTCTCATAAGAGGAAATGGTCATTGGCGGCTTGGAGATTCCCGGATGGATCAGAGAAGGATCTGTAAGCGCGAGTGGTCAGTACATGTAAGCAGCATGATAAGCAGCACGAGAAAGCAGAATGCAGAAAGGCTGCCGCAGAGGGCCCGATGGCGAAAACGAACGGGGAATTTGGGTGTTGATGAACTCTCATCAGGCGCGGTTGCAGCAAGTCAAGGGAGGTCAGGCCAATTTGAGGGTTTCTGAAGATGGTTGGCTGAGCTGAAAACTGACTTGCCGTCGCTCTTAGCGGGGACAAGTAAGCCAGCCGAGATGGGGACCACCAACCAGATGTCTCAGTGAGACACCCAACCGGCACGGTTGCAATGATGCGCGATTGACAAGGGGAAAAGGAGAAGAGGAGGTTTGACGCGCGGTGGTTGATTGATTGATTGTGATCAGGATGATTGTGGAGATACACAAGACGGAATAAATAAGAAGCAGGCGGAGATAAAAAGGGAAAAAGGAAAAACAGAAAAAGGGCAAAAATAGCAGCGGACGGTGATGCCGAAGCGTGGTGTTGACAGGAATGACGACAAGTTTCGGTTGCCGTCAACCGCTAGGGCCAGCCGAACAGAGGCCGCCGGCTTGCAGTCGCAGCGTGCAGCGCCGCGCAGCGCATCCGCATAGTGGGCTCGGGCACCGCCTGGCTGGCTATGCCAGTGGGTTTGCAGTGCAAGTGCAGCGCTGAAGGCAGGGATGCGGCGCCGGTTCGGGGGGCCTCTCAGAAGCCAGAGAGGGCCTTGAGGGGCAATCTGGCGGGGGTGGCCATGGCACAAGGGGGGGGACTATTGGCGGCCCAAAGAGGAAATGCCCCCGGGCAGGCTGCCACCTTGGACATTTTTTCCCATTGGGTTTTGGGGGGGGAAATTGAGTGAGAGGGAAGCGCAGAGATGGTGATTGCAGAGGCAGAAGGCAGAAGGAAAAAGGCAGAAGGCAGAAGGCAGCAGGCGATGGGTGTGAAGCAGGTGATGATGGGAAAAATAGGCAGTACAAGGAAAAACAACTTACCAACAAAGCTCTTGGGGTGCGCAAGGCTGGCAAACTCAAAGGCCGTCATGTCGTCCAATCCGTTGGGGCCAAAGGCTGAGAACTCGACAAAGTCGCCGTTGGCGATGCCCGGCTGGATACCGAGGCCCTGCACAGTCCAGTCCATGCCAATCTGGCCGTGGTTTGACAAGGGAGATCCGACGGCGGACGAAGGCGCAGAAGGCGCCGAGGCAGTGGACAGGCCGGACGAGGGCAGATAATCGTCGCCGTACATTCCAGGAGAGGTAGGGCCGTTCATCATGTAGCTGGCATCGGCAGTGTATAACGAGGGCTCGTAGCTGATGGTGCTGGGGCTGGTATAGAGCTCTTGGCTGGTCGCACGCTGGACATATGAGCCGTAGGCATCGGCGGCGATGCTCAGATCCATGGGCGCGGAGGAGTAGACGGAGACGTGGGATGGTTCGAAGTGTGTGTATTCATCCTGCTGCTGGGGGAACATGCTGAAGCTTTGCCCGGCCAGAGAGGCCATTGCGAAAGGCTGTTTAGACTCGTGGCGGAAAGCTGGTTTTGACTGGTTGCTTCGCGCGCAGCCTTGGTGAAGCGCGGCGCGAGTGTTGGACTCTTTTGTCTTGCAGCGAGAGATGGCTGTGATCTCTTGCGCTTGGAACCTGGAGTCGCGAGTGGGTTCAATGGAGCTTAAGAAAGGCGGTTTGCGACGTTGCTGTAGTCTCTTCTCAAGGTTGGCGCAAAAGGTGAGAAAGAGAGGTATGTGGTGGTGGAGGTGGTAAGAGGGCGACGGCGGTGGTTGTGGTAGATATAAGCAGGCAGCAAACGAGGGTCCGTTGTAAGTGAGTCAAAGGTCGTGGTAGGCAATTGGATCTTGCAAGTAAGAGTAGGCAAGGTGTGAGGTTGTGCCGGAGGTGAAGTTATACTTGTATGGCTGAGATGGTCTGTCACCAGAAGTTCGGTTGAACATGTTGGGGGCTGCCGACGAAGATATAGCCCACCGAATGCATCGTGGTAACAGGGACCCAGTCTTTGGATCGCCCATCAAACACAGATTCGACACGCCGCGGTAAAAGACCAGATACATGTACCGCCCGTTCCTACATGGTACCTAGAGGTAGGGCTCTCGCTCTGGCGCAAGCCTCATCCGGGGGGCGTGGCATACGGCACAACCATCATCGATGGACAGTAGCAGGTAGCAGTGCCCCCAAGCCGCCTCTCCGAAGGATAGTGTGTATACCTAGAGCATTGCAGCGCAGTGCAGTGCAGTGCAGTGCAGAGAAATGCCAGGCAAAGGGGAGGGGTGGGAAATACAGAACGGCATGGCATGGCATGGCATGGGTCAAGCCATGATAGGGGCGTGGACGCCGGCTTGGTGGGATGGGATGGGGGATGGGATGCTGTGACGAGGACCTGGATCAAGACAACATACTCGTAAGACATTTGATGAGAAAAAGCCAGGGGCGTGGCTGTAGCCCAGAGCGGTGGGAGTGTGCACCACCCCCGTGGCGTGCAATTAGATCAAAGCCCGATACCCTTGCACCCTCAAGCAGGCGTGAGGGGCACTCGGCCCAAACAGGCATGGCGCGATTCCTCAGGCCTGGGAATCAACTCCAAGCATCCAGCCCTGGCCTGCCACAGACACATTCGGACACCTCGGCTTGGGCTTTGGACCGTCCTCCGGGTCGCTTCCCTGTCCTGTCAGAAGCTTGGGAGAGCGCCTAAAGAAATACCTACTGCGATTGTAGGAAGCCCGGTAGCGCTACTTTTTGTGCCCCCAAAGTTGGGTGGCGCGGTAGGTATGGGGTACGCGAGGGACGGAGTCATCCCCTTGGGGGGCCTGGCTGGTCTTTTTCATCACACACACGCTTTTTTCTTTTCTTTCTTTTCTTTTTCTTATTGCGTCGAGAGTTGTGTCAGTGTGTGTCCAGGTTGTTGATTGTGAGCTGGCATTAATCTTGTCAGCTTCAGTTCCAAGTACGCGGTTGCTGCTCCAGCCCCCGACCAGGGTTGACATGCTACCGCACCGCAGCGCTGAGTTGAAAACGTGGAAATTAATCTAGCACTATATGATGATGTTCTAGGTGCATGTAGTTAGTTTGAGGAAGCCTCTGCTTCCGTGCGAGGCTGAACCAAGTGCCCATCACTATCAACACCGGGAGATGACTGCATAGACGTCGTCTTCCGGGGCTGAACTAGGGAGTGCCGCAAGCCCAGCAAGGGCGCGTGTTGCAGTGCCGAAGGCCAGCCAGCAAGGGAGATTGTCGCTAAGCGAAGCCATGAGGACGTTCCAGAGACGACAAAGACGCAAGCTCTGGATGCTGCCTTTGGCCCCCACAGGCCCTGCGAGCAGCAAGAAAGACAGAAGGCGGTCCGCGCTTGAAGCTGTGCCTGCCCGTGGTGCCTACGCTTGCATTGCCCATCTGAGATGGCTTGGTTCTCCGTTGCGTGCTGAGGCTTTCCGGCGGCACGCGCAGAGTCAATCATTGATGCATGTGGCTCGTACGCCATCCCGGTCCGGGGCCCCGGCTACAACCGCGTGCTGCCAAAGGGGAGCAGGCGAGACAAAGCACAGATGGAAAGCATTCACTAAAGCCAACATGAGCTTGCAGGTTCCTGTACAGTATGATATGTTACGAACTATCTAATGGCCTAGCCCGATGAGACTACGTCTATCAGTTTGCTTTGCATGCCATGCCACGCAGTGAACTGGTGCTGGTGCTGGGCCGGGGCCATCGTCTTACACATATCGAAGGGTTCACACAAGAGGGCAACGGAGAATTACGGGTTCGTATTTCAGACCTATGACAACAGACCAATCGATTACACGGCGACAAGTGCGGAAATCTAGCGGATCGACCCCGATCCTTGACTCGTTGCAGAGCACCTGTAATATTATCTGGCTGGCAATCATAGATGAAGAGCAGCTAGCAGAAAGGGCAAGGCAGATAACATGTGGAGTTGGTCGAAGCCCCATGACTAACTCTGCCTACTCGTACAAGTCTCTGTTTTTTTCTTTATATCGTACGAGTTGCGAGTGTCGCCCTAAAAGCTAGCACCTTGGATGAGCACTATACACCCTACAAAAGAGTGGATAATAACCTCCGCTTCAACGTCAGGACAAGGCCCGCGGACTTTGAGAGGTCTGAGATGGCGCGCCTTCCCAATAATTGTCCCCAGCATCATCCCGGACCGCACACAGGTCTGAAGCATACAGTAGGTGCACATACTCGTACGAATAGGTACAGGTTCGATAGTGGGTAAAAGAAACAGCCAGGGTTATGGTGCCTACTACGGAGTAGTTTAGGTACCTAGTAGTGTGGGCAAAAAAAGGAACATGCGCCAACATTATGCATGTCTCGCCCACCACGCATTCGTTGCCGTATTTTGTGAAACCCATCCAATGGTGACCGATTGACTCACTGCTATTTCTGGACGCTGGGCAAGTAAAGATACGAGCAGAGCATGCAACTCAAGACATGAACCAGAGAAAGGACAAGAGTTTGTTCTTTCTTTGCTGCTGCACCCCTGCATGTTACACGCCCGCATCGCAATTCGGCCAATGACAGCGCCGGGTCCGACAAGGAAAGCCGCTGCAGCTCCCGGCTCCGACGGATGCGCGCATCGTCCGTCAGCGAGATTTCCCCCTTTGAAATCCTTTTGTGTCTTTGATTCCTCACCACGTTTTTAGCTACCGGGGGGGGGGGTTGGCCCAACGAGAAGACGGCCAAGGAACGGATAGGGAAGGATACCATATCAAGAGCAGCAAGAAGGATTTCGTTGGTGGTACATACAGGGTGAACTGTGGGATATTGGACGGACCAGGGGAGGAAGAGGAAGAAGCGGGACTACGGAGGGGCTTCCCAAAGGCTGCCGCAGATAGACCTCCAACCAGACAATGACGTGCAGGCCCAATTGGGTAATTCGTCTTGTCCGGAGCGAAGCGCGGAATATACCACGGAATGTTGACGGAACACCAACACCAACACCAACATCACGCAAACGCACCCACCGCACCGCACCGCACCGCACCGCACGATGGAAGCCGGTGACATGTTTTGATGAGCATCCGCGCGCTCAGCCGGGGCTCACAAGGCGTTGCGTCGTGCAAAGCAAAAGTTACACGTGGTCTAGAGGTTTCGCCCTGGTTTTGGTTCTTCTCATTCCGCGGTGCCGGCCGGGCATGCATGTGCGAGCACTCCATCTACACCATACACGTACATATCAACTATACACGAACATGCAATCAGGCAAGGCAAACTGGAGTTTACCCGCGTGCACATCAATGCCTATTGTCAAAACTCGTCTGGTTAAAGCTACGGCACCACAAATCCACATTTGCATGTAAAAAAAGACGCAAGACAAAATAAACGGTTTACTCGTTTTAGCCAGACATTCAACGGCTCGTCTTTCGCGCAAGGCCACACAGGTGAGCCCGTTTCGGCAATAGGTGGTCAACTAACACCGGAAGCCATGGGCGCGAGGCAGAAGAGGCAATAACATGGAGGAATTAATTAAAAATGCTCGGCGACCGGACCAAACAGTTTCCGAGACATGAATGCCGTCTTTTTGCAGGGAATAAAACAAGAAAATGAAATGGGATTGCGCAAAGAGTGCTCATGACTCTCTCTCTCTCTCGCCTTGTTGGTTCGAGGTGCCCTGCCAAGTACAGGTGCTATGCCCAGAGGGTAAAAAGGTACATGGCCCCAACCAAGGTATGTACCTCCCCATAGAAATCGATACGACCAGATACGACGCGAACGGAAGAGAGCGAGATCCATCGGTTGGCATTCCGCTCCAGGCAATGCAAAGTTTCCGCACTAGTATCGACGGTAGATGGAACTGGATAAATTAAAGGGGACAGGGATGAGGGCAGGCGATTGAGTTGGATGGGGAAGGCTTGGGGTGCGACTCAGTGCTCTCGGTACTCCGTACACGCGGGCTGTACCTGTGTGCCATGCGCGGCACATGTACTCATAACAACGTCCGGGGCTTGTACCTACAGTACCGCTCAGGCTAGGCGCCATGCATCTCAAACTTCAATTTTGACTGCAGTAGTTTGGTATTAACTGACAGCATTACCGATCAAACAAAACAATGTCTTGGCCCCGAAGATTACTTTCCGGCAAGCAAAAGAAGCCTCCGCGAAAGCGGCAACAATCAGAAAAGCCAGAGTAGAGAGAAAAACGCGTCGTTGCCACCAGCAATCTCTTCCCCCCTCCCTCGAAACTATCGACGGACGTCAAATCTATTCTTGTCTGCCTTCCGTACCCCCATCCAACAGGCAGCAGACAAGGTCATCGGCCCTTGGCAGGGTGAAAGTGAAAGGAAGCAGGAGAATGAAGACATCAATCAAGCCGGCTTACCAGGGTGTGTCTCTAAGTTGTGCTCAGTTGTACTCGTACTCGTAGTATCTGATCAGGCCGGCCGCTCCACGGGTCTCCTGGATCGCGAGAGCCAGCAATCAATCACGAAATCCCCACAGGCTGTGAAAAAAAGACGAGAGGGAATCGACGAGGCTCT